TGGACTGTGTTACGGGATGAACTGTATTCCTCTCGAATTCATCTGTTCACATCCTAAACCCTGGTACCTCAGAAGTGTGACTTATAGGGGAAGTAAGGCCTGGAATAGAGGTAATTAAGGTAAAATGAAGTCACATGTGTGGGTCCTAATCCAATATAAGTGATGTTCTTAAGAAAAAATTAGGACATACACATACACAGAGGGAAAACCAAATGAAGACATCTTAGGAAGACAGCTATCCATGAGCCAAGAGAGGCGCTTTAGAAGAACCCAACCCTGCCAACACTTTGATATTATACTTCTAGCCTCCAGAATTGTCAGAAAATAAATTTTTGTTGTTTAAGACAACCAGCCTGTGATTCTTTGTTATGGCAGCCCTCACAAATTAATACAAGCTGAGAGGAGGAAGTAGTCCTAGCTGGTTAAGAATTCACACATATTGTCAACTCCATCCCATAAATACGAAGTCCTATAATAGAAAAAACGGTAGAGCTTTTGATACATGGTGATAATGCCTTAAATCACACAAGGAAAATATTTTTTAAATAATTAGTATTTCCAGAGGAAAATATAAGAAAAAACTGAAAGGATATAATATTTGCAATTAAAAAAGGACAGAAAAGGTTTAAGTAATATCAGTTTTGAAGAAAACCAAGAATAAAAAGAGAAGTCAAGCAAGACGTATCCTATGCGTGAAATGAAAGTTAACCAAAGAGTAAATGAATCATCTAAAAACAACCCAGCAAAGCAAGGGAAAGCAATGGAAGCAACTTTGGATAATTATTTAGAATTAAAAAGAGTTGTATTTTATTTTAATGTTTAGTTAATGAATTCCTTGATGATTAACAAAAAACGTTTTCAGGCCTCAAGTGAAAATATATTTCCAGTAGGTTTTAATGGAACTTTGGTTCTTTGCAGGTTTCTTAAGGAAAAAAAAACAACAAACAAACAAACCAAAAAAAACAGCTAATAATCACTAGCCATTCCACACATACTAGTTTTTGTCCTATGTCTCGAGCTAAAGAGGCCACAGATTTCCAAAGGAGAGTAAGGTGGAGGAGAAAGCTATTCTCTAACTTGCAGCAACCAAGGGGGGACTTGCTCCCTGGTGCTAGGTTGGCCAAAGTTCATGCAGAGAAGAAAAAAAGCTAGAATAGAAATTCAGCATTTTATGGCAAGATTTTTAATGTTTTTAAACATTGCTTCAACGTTTTAACATCTTCTTAAACTTTTTTAAAGTTATGGTTGGACGTGATGGTTCACACCTATAATCCTAGCACTTGGGAGGCCAAGGCAGGACGATCATTTGAGTCCAGGAGTTCAAGACCAGCCTGGGCAACACCGCAAGACCCCATCTCTACAAAAAATAAGAAAAATTAGCTGAGTGTGATGGCACATGCCTGTAGTTCCAGCTACTTGGGAGGCTGAGATGTGATCCCTTGAGCCCAGGAGTTTGAAGACGCAGTAAGCTATGGTTGCACCACTGTATTCCAACCTGGGTGATAGAGTTATGACCACATCTCTAAAAAACACAATGTTATATCTCATGTCAAAGTTGTATAATTTCTCTTTTGATACACAGTTACTTTCTTTCAGTATAACAATATCACAGTTGTCCTAGACAAGGATTCTTTGCTTTCTATATATTATTTTCAAGTGTGATAATATGTTTCTGAAATACATCTTCTTTGTCACTAGAGCCATTAGTATTACCAGTATGAACACTAATGGTGAAAAAGCTCTCCAACTGTTTTAAGTGTAAGACTTTGCAAAACAAACTTGAATACGGCTGCATAATTTGCCTTTCTCCAGAAAAGCCTATTAAACGTTGTTGGCATTGGATACAAAATCAAATTCAAAAATTTGCATTTTCAGTACTTTTGGTTTCTTGACCTTTATTTGAATTTGAGACTAAGCTTTACCAAACAACAGAATTTACACAGTAACTAGCCAACCACAGTCCTCATTATGGAATCTGTGCAGTGCATTTGTTACCTAGGAAACGGACCAGAGCACAGGCAGAGTGCAATTTCAGTCTAGCAAAAGAATTCTCCAATCATGCTAGTAAATAAAGTCCATAAATCAACTAATCAGAAGCAAAGTCAAGAAGTATCACGTAAGAGTTAAGCTCAATGGAAACTTTTTTAAAGGAAAAGAAACCTGTGGGGCTTCCTCAGGCAACTATGGAGATCTCTGAAGTAAATATTATGAGCAGGTTTCTTTACAAACACAAACTGTCAGAAAATAAACTGTTCAAAATAAATGGCTTCTCTCCAATCTTCAGCTTCTCTATTTTTGACAGTACTTAAGAGAAAAAGCTTCTTTAGAGCCAGCCTCATACATCTGGTACCAGAATATTAATCCAAGAATGAAATCTGCATTTTCGGCGAGCAGCATGGGGTTGGTGCTGTTGTTAAACAATGCAGGATGATGATAACAGCTGGAACGAGAGGTCACTGTCCACACCTCTCACAGCGGGACCTGCGTCCCCACTAGGCTACAAAAAAATGTGAAAAAAAGACTTGAAAGTCACAGATCTATCACAAAGAATAAAATTGTTACTTTTCAGCTTTCCATTTATTACTAATGAAAACACTAGTCATTTGAGCATTCTAGTTAACATAAAGTGGCCATTTTAAGCTTCCTGTAATGATACCACATTGATAACCAATAAACAGGAAAATGCTAGAAAAGTCCATGGATTTTAAAGCCTATCAAATTTAACTGTGGACGGCTTAGTGTTGTTTTAAAAAGAGAAGTTGGTAAATGTCAGCTATATTTAAAAAACCAGTTTTATACAAATTCAAATTTTCTGGAAGTAGCACGTATTTGTCAAAACAAGTCAAAAAATTTCAAACATGAAAAATGAAAAATAATTTATATGCCTTCCTGAACACCAACTTACCAGAAAGGAAATCAGTTGAAAATACATAAGGTTCTCTGGAATGCTTCTGATTACACTAAAATATTATTGCTAATCATACAAAAACAAAAAATTAGTATCTACTTATCAGTCAAAAAAACACACAAAAACATAAACAAAACTAGGGTGTTATCTTTTAGCCAGCCCACATAAAGACTACACTGATGATCTCAGAAAACAGTTAGGCACAACTACAACTTTGCCAAAACAATTCTCAGTACAGGCCACACTCTGTTAATGCTTAGTTACACAGTGACTCTTTGTTAAATCTTATCACTACCACTGACAGCCTTGTAAATATATAAATAAGCAATTCAATTATTAGCTTATCTTTTTTTAATACTTTAAAGAGCTAAGGAAGAGTATGTATACCTAAGTGCTGAAATTCTGAGAGTGGTCTAGAACTCCATTCCTGGATTCGCGATAAAGCCTGATCAAATTTCAGTACCTCTCCTCTTTGGGCTATTGAACGCTAGTCAAGGGCCTACCAGAGCCACATACTGAGCTCTGTGCCTCTGTGCAGAATTTAAATTCATTTACCTAATGCAGACTGGAAGTCAAAGCAGAAACCAGTAAAATTTTGTCAACTAAAAGGGATTGGCTTGATCACTGCTGGGTTTTAAGTAATGTGTGTATAAATGTACACTCCAGGCATTTACAGTATTAGGCATGCAATAATATTAATCTGTTTAACTGGGGCAAGAATCTAGGATAAATTTTTCTCCTAGAAAAAAACCACTATTTTAAGCATACTAAACTTTTTATAATGACAAAAATCAGTTTGTCTTTAAAAAAGTGCATTAACTTGTACAGTTTTCTAAATTTTAAACCTTAATGAAAATTTAAATAATACATAATGTTCCACGTTTTTCCTTCAAGTTTAGATGATAATGCTTTTTGTTTTTTTAGGAAAACCTCCATTTTCTACATATGACTGTCTATATAATTGTACGCATGGCCCCCAAAACTGCTTCTTCGTTTTTTTAATTTCCTGGGTAACTGTCAGACTTAAGTTTGTCAATATAGATTCTCACACGGGGGGCAAAAAAGAGTTTCCAGAACTGAGCAGTAGATTGAGATTAATAGTTATAAATCCATATCTGCATATTAAAAATCTGAATCTGTAAAATTTATTTTCTGGGTGCTTATTCAACCTCGTTTATCATTTGAATATCTACAAATACACAGCAACCGTTAATGAAGAAACTTAGCTAGCTTATCAAATAAGACAAATCAGAAACATTACCCTACCGTATTTTTCAAAACACGGTATCCATATCCATGCACACCCGAATCGCTGGGTTATATACATAGAATAGGAAAAGCACAATCCTAGGGGGAAAACTCAATTCTGACATTCATGATCTCATGGGTTGTGAAAGATCTCATATCTTAAATCAGTAGAAATAAAGGCTTCAGCCTGAACGGAAAGCTAGATCATTGTTTATTGCACTCCAATTTAACCTCCACCATACAAGCTGTCACTACCTGACTGGCTTGTTAACTGTTTATTTCGTCAGGAGAGGATTCCGTCTTGCGAATCCTAACAAGTACGGGAAAAAACAAAACTTTACTCCTAAACTTCAACACACACACACACACACACACACACACACAAAATATACATAATTGTAAAAATCACAGCCATGTTCATTTTTTAAAGTCTCCATCTAAAACCTTAAAGAAAAAAAAAAAAAAAAGACTTGAGGGAACCAAAAACATTCTTTGATTTTGGTTTGACGTTGCTCAGTCCAACCTCCTCCTACCCAGGGGAATACATTTCTCGATATATTTGATAACAAACACAAATCACTGTGCGCAGCCTCAGATGGGGGTGGGGGACGGAAGAGCCTTTTGGAGAAAGCCCTCCTCCGTTAGAAACAATAAATAAGGGAGCGAAGCCATGCACGTTCCTTCACACACGCCCCAAACGCACCTCGGCGAGCCTCCCGAGGAGGGAAACTAGTGGGGCAGAGCCCTGAACCACCTCTCTTTCTCCATAAGCATCTCAAGACTTGGAAACTAACAGGACAGACCTTTTCTTCCTCCTTCCCGCCCTCCTTCCCACCTCCAACAGACCCAAGAGCAGAAGCAGGGGCGCCAGCCCCGCGCACTATGCCTGCAGCCGCCGCTGAGACCCGAGCTGCCGGGCGGCGGGGCGGCCCGGGGCAGGCGGACCGGAGCCGCCGCCGGGGGTCTCTGCGCCTCGCACCCCCAAGCCCGGCGCTGCCGACGAGCGGCCGCCCGGGTCCCTGCCCTCGCTCCGGCCTCGCTCCCCCGAGAGGAGACAAAAGGAAGGTTCAGCCGGGTCACCGCGCGGCCGCTGACGGGGAAGCAGAGTCGACCCCTGCGCGGCCGCCCCCCACACAAAGGGGCTCCCCGCCTGGGTCGCGGCGTCGGCGCGCTCGTCCCCGCCCAGCGCGCGGGCTCTCACCCACCTGCAGGTGTCTGTGCGTCTGTCCATAGGAACGCGGGCGCCGGGGGGGGGCCTGCGGGAGCCGGGCAGCCCGGGCTGGACGGGGCGGGCCGGAGGGGCGCGAGGGCGGGAGGAAAGCGGCCGGAGGACCGGGCACCGAAGGCAAAAGGCGCGGGGAAGGCGCCCGGCGGGCGGCGGACCGAGGCGCGGGGCGGGGGGCGCAGCCTGGCTCGGCCGACCGGCGCCGCGGCCCTCCGTGCGCCCGAGCTCCGCGCGCCCGGCGAGCGCGGCGGGCGGGCAGGGGGCGGGGCGCGGGCGGGCAGGGGCGGGGCCGGCGAGCGGGGCGGGGGCTCGGACCTGGGGCTCCAGCCGGCACCGGAAACGCGCCGTGGTCGGCAAGACCCACAGGAAGTGTGTAACGACACCTCCTACGGCACGCACCAAGCTCGCAGTCGTCGCTGCCCGGAGGAGGTGTAGACCGAGCCTCCTGCTGCACACACGCGCGCACGCGGCGGCTGGCGCGCTGCCCCTGGAGGTTTGGAGCAACCGGTCCTCCGCGCGCACGAGCTCAGTCTCTGCTGCCCCGACAGGTGTGGAACCCGCCATCCCCGCTATGGTCCGAGGAAGTGTGCAGCACCGCCCCCTGCTACACGTCCCGGGCCCGCGGTCCCCGATGCCCCCCGGAGCTCTGTGCACCTCCACTGAAATGCAAGGAGCAGACAGAACCTACACCGTCCGTGAGGTGTGTGAGTCCCCTTATAACGCATTGAGTAGAGTTACCTCTCCGCCCAGGGATGTGCGTTAACACTTTCACCGAGATGCTATGTACAGTCCACAGTCACACCCTTATCCCATCGAGGGAGCGGGGATGCTTAATGACACCTGAAATACACTAAAACTAGGTCCTCCAGCAAACCAGGGACACAAGAACACCACCTACACGACTCAGCACAGCAAAGCTGAAGCTGGACTTACTAGGTGCTACCAGGCTTGGTCCACCTTTATTTTACCTAACACTTACATAGTACATGCTGTGTGCCCACAGTTTGCACTGAGTACCTAGCGAATATTAATTTATTTAATCCTAAGAACTCTGAACAGTGGGTGCTATTAATATTGCCATTTTATGGATAAGGATTAACATTGCCATTTTATGGATATGGATGAGGCACAGAGAAATTAAGAAATATGTTCAACATCACATATATAGTAGCTAGAGGAGCCTGGATTCATTCCAGACAGTCTGGCTTCAGAGTCTGCTCTTAACTCCCTTTCTATGTACAGCACTGACCATCTCCAAAACAGTAATCATGGTAATAAATAACATTTATACCGTATCTGATGGGCCTTAATTAGTGCCCACATCTTGGCCTCACCTCACCTGTGACAGGCATACCCCAGTCACTTGTACCCTTGGAGTAGGTAAGGGAAGAGAAGAATATTTTTGAGGCAGAAAAAGAGGCTAACTTCTTAGCAAAGGAGAAGATATCCAGGGTTGCCCAGAATCCAGGCAGGTAACTTCATTGCCACATCAAGCATGTTCTCTCCTTTAGGGTAGCTTCTACCAACCCTTCTCCATCTCTAGAGCTGATTCAGGTTGATGTTCTTAACACTCCTCTATCAGCACTCTTCCAGGTCTAGGCTGAAATTTGAAATCTGTGTAAACTTTGACACAATAATGTTTGTACAAACAAAAAAGACCAAAAGTGAAAACCCCCTAGTTAATTGCTGCATATTCTAAAGATGGGATCTTGTGGAGAAATTGGAACTCTTATGCAACGCTGGTGGGAATGTAGATGGTACCACCACTATGCAAAACAGTGTGGAAGTTCCTTAAAAAACTGAAACTAGAGCTAACATATGATCCAGCAATCCCACTTATGGGTAAGTGTCCAAAAGAATTGAAAGCAGGATATCGAAGAAATATTTGCACACTCATGTTCATTGCAGCACTATTCACAATAGCCAAGAGGTTAAAGCAGCCCAAATGTTCATCAACAGATAAATAGATAAATGAAAATGTAATATATACATATAATGGAATATTATTCAGCCTTAAAAATGAAGGAAATCCTATCACAGGCCACAAGGTAGATGAACCTTGAGGATGTTGTGCCAAGTGCAATAAACCAGTTACAAAAGGACAAATACTGTTATGATTTGACGTATATGAGGTATGTAGAGGTATGTAAATTGTGTGATTATGTCAAACTTGTGGAAACAGTAGAATAGTGGTTGCTAGAGGGTAGAGGGAGGGGAAAATAGTGATATAATGTTCACTGGGTATAGAGTTTCAATTTTGCAAGATGAAAAAGTTCTAGAGATGTTACACAATAATGTAAATATAACACCACTGAACTGTACACTTAAAAGGAGTTACAAAGGTACATTTTAAATTGTTTTTGCCACAGTTAACTTTAAAAAAAATCTAATTTTATTTGTTTAAAGGATATTTCATCATAATGAATTTTTTTAATGATGCAGGCATCCAACCATGATGAGGTACCTTGTCGAACAAACTAACTCTGCCACTGAGGACTGTAAAAGCTGTTTAAAAAAATAAATAAAAAGTCTGTTTAAAACAATTGGAGAGCAACCCTGTCATCCAAGGCTCGAGAGTCCAAGAGCCCCCAGGAAGAAGGGAAATACTTTGAAGTGAGTCCTGCATTCTCAGCCACTCTTCCTTCTCAGGGCATTGTTGATTTGTGTCTAGGAGTGTGGAAGTCGGAAAGAAGCACCCTAGAGCTTACTGACAGTCTTACTGGCCTGGTGATACAAAATTTGGAGTCAGGTCTATTAAGGCAGCTAGGACTTGAGAAACCAAGATCCCAGATAAAGCAATCACAGTAAACCTAATGGGTTGGCTGAGGGCCATAATCCCGGCACTTTGGGAGGGTGTGGCAGGAGGATTGCTTGAGACCAGGAGTTTGAGACCACCCTGGGTAACATAGTGAGACCCCCATCTCTACAAAAAGAAAAAAAAAAAAAATTAGCTAGGCCTGGTGGCCCACATCTCCAGCTCCAGCTACTAAGGAGAAAGAAAGAGAGCGAGAGAAAAGAGACCTGTGGGATTTTTATGCTTTTATTAGGTCCATAGGCATTATGCCCTTAAAAAACCACATGCGCAAAGGAGGGGAACTTATTTCCAAGGCTCTGGTGTTGACCATTAAGTTTTTGTGGTGTTCTGTTTTGTTTTGAGACAAGGTCTCGCTCTGTCGCCCAGGGTGGAGTGCAGTGGCATGATCTCAGCTCATTGCATCCTCTACCTCCCTGTCTCAGTCAATCCTCCTGCCTCAGCCTCTTGAGTAGCTGGGACTAGAGATGTGGGCCACCATGCCCAGCTAATTTTTTTTTCTTTTTGTAGACACAGGGGTCTCACTATGTTACCCAGGGTGGTCTCAAACTCCTAGCCTCAAACAATCCTCCTGCCGCACCCTCCGAACCTGCTGGGATTACAGCCCTCAGTCAACCATTAGGTTTTTTCATGGTCAGCAGCTGAGGGATATGTTGTGTTTGGGGGTCTATAAGATGAACAAGTGGGCTGTATCAACCACACCAGGAGGGGAAGTTTGTTTTGTTTTTGTTTTGTTTCTTGAGACAGAGTCTTGCTGTGTGGCCCCGGCTGGAGTGCAGTGGCGTGATCTCAGCTCACTGCAGCCTCCTCCGCCTCCCACATTCAAGTGATTCTCGTGCCTCAGCCTCCCAAGTAGCTGGGATTATAGGTGCGCGCCATCCTGCCCGGCTAATTTTTGTATTTTCAGTAGAGGCAAGGTTTTACCATATTGGCCAGGCTGGTTTGAACTCCTGACCTCAAGTGATCCTCCCACCTTGGTCTCCCAAAGTGTGGGATTACAGGTGTGAGCCACCACACCTGGCCAGAAGGGTAAGTTTTAACAAGGCCAAAGGTGACGGCGGGGGCCAGGGGGTGGGTATACAACTGGGTTTCCAAAGACTTAGGCCAGGCCTAAAAATGAATACCAAAGCAGCAACTATATTAAAAAATTTATGACACTGGTACATGCTTCAACATGGATAAACCTGGAAAAGCTTACAAAGCTATGCGAAAGAAGCCAGTCACAAAGGGTCATATATTATATGATTCCATTTATATGAAGTGTCTAGAATACACAAATCAATAGGGAGAGAAAGTAGACTAATGATTCCCCAGGGCTGAGAAGTTTCGGTGAAAATGTGAGGTAACTACTGCAGAGTAAAGTTTGTTTTTGGGGTGATGAAAATATTCTAAAATTGGATGATGTTTATGAAACTCTGATTATACTAACAACTACTGAACTGTACATTTTAATGGGTGAACTGTATGGTATGTGAGTTATTTCTCAATAAAACTGTTTCAAAAAGAAAGCATCAAATACAAATCCTAGGCCAGGCATGGTGGCTCATGCCCCTCATCTCAGCACTTTGGGAGGCCAAGGTGGGAGGATTGCTTGAGCCTAGGAGTTTGGGACCAGCCTGGGCAACAAAGTGAGACCCCGTCGCTACAAAAAAATTAAACAGTTAGCCGGGTGTGGTGGCACACGTCTGTAGTCCCAGCTACTTGGAAGGCTGATGTGGGAGAATCGGTTGGTCCTAGGAGCGTCAGGGCCACAGTAAGCTGTGTTTGTGCCACTGCACTCCAGCATGGGTGACAGAGCAAGACTCTGTCTCCAAAAAAAAAAGGAAAAAGGAGTCCAATAGAGGGCCCAGTCTGAGGAAGGGGCACAGGTGCCAAGTCCAGCTGTGAAGGTGCCATGGCGTGAAGGAGCCATGTCCAGCAAGAAGGACCCCCTAAAACAGTTCAAGAAGCAGGCCAAGAAAATGGATGAGGAAGATAAGACTTTCAAGTGAAAGCAAAAAGAGGTGCTAAAACAAAATGATTTATCCCAACAATTGCAGAATACAAGTTCCTTTCTTTCATTATTTTTATTTGTTTTGAGACAGAGTCTCACTCTGTCACCCAGCCTAGAGTAACGTGGATCATAGCACACTGCAGCCTTGACCTCCATGTTCAAGCGATCCTCCCACATCAGCCTCCTGAATAGCAGGGACTACAGGTGGGTGTCGTCATACCAGCTAATTTTTTTTTCTTTCTTTCTTTCCTTTTTTTTTTTTTTTTGAGACGGAGTCTCACTATGTCACCAGGCTAGAGTGCAGTGGTGCGATCTCGACTCACTGCAACCTCCACCTCCCAGGTTCAAACGATTCTCCTGCCTCAGCCTCCCAAGTAGCTGAGACTACAGGCACGCGCCACGATGCCCAGCTAATTTTTGTATTTTTAGTAAAGATGAGGTTTTACCATGTTGGCCAGGATGGCCTTGATCTCTTGGCGTTGTGATCCGCTTGCCATGGCCTCCCAAAGTGCTGGGATTACAGGTGTGAGCCACCACACCCGGCCATACCCAGCTAATTTTTAATTTTTTTTTGTAGAGATGTGGTCTCGCTATATTGCTCAGGTTGGTCTTGAACTCCTGGGCTCAAGTGATCCTCTCACCTTGGCCTTCGAAGTGTTGGAATTACAGGCGTGAGCCACCATGCCCAGCCTAGATGTTCCTTTTAAATGCATATATAATGTTCACTAAAAAAGGCCATATAATTAGCTATAAAACAAATCTCGAGAAATTTAAAACGATTGAAGTCACACAAAGTATATTTTCTAACCACCGTAAAGCTAAATTTGAAATCAATTATAGATCAATATCTGGAAACTCTATGAATATTTGAAAATTAAACATGTTTCTATGTTCCTCATTGACTAAAGAAGAACTCAGAAGGAAAGTAGGAAAATCTCTCGAAGTGAATGAAAAATTACACAATATATCAAATGTTTGTGGGAAAATGTTAAGGCAGTTCTAAAAGTAAAATTTATGGCTTAAAAGTTTATATCATAAGAAAAAGAAGGCCCAAGAGAATGAACTAACTTTTAATCTTCAGAAGCTAGAAGAAAGGACATATTAAACACAAAGAAGAAAACAAATAAGATAGTAGAAATCAACTTAAAACAGAAAACAGACCCCCCCCAAAAAACAAAAGAAAGAAAGAAAATAAAGGAAAACATGAAGTATTTTGTAAAAAATCATTGCCAGGCATGGTGGTTCATACCTGTAATCTCAGTGCTTTGGGAGGCCAAGGTGGGTGAATCGCTTGAGCCCAGGAGTTTGAGACCATCCTGGGCAACATAGTGAGACCTTGTCTCTACAAAATTAAAATTAAAATATTAGCTGAGCATGGTGGTGTGTGCCTGTGGTCTTAGGTCATCTAGAGGCTGAGGTGGGAGGATCACTCTAGTCCGAGAGTTTGAGGTTGCAGCGAGCTGTGCTCACGCCAGTGTACTCCAGCCTGGGTGAGAGTGAGAATCTGTACTAAAGCTCCATTTACATTAGTCAAGAAAATGGACATTACTAATTTCAAAAATGAAAGAAGGAATTCATAGACATTAAAATGACAATATAGAATATTGAAGTCAACTTTATGCGCTAAATTGAACAACTTAAATTCTTTAAGAGACAAAAATGACAAAATGGGCTCTAGAAAAAAATATAAATTTGAATAGTTTTCTTTCTATTAAGATATCGAAGCCTGGCCAACATAACAAGACCCACAAAACAGATTTTTTTTTTTTTTAATTAGCTGGCATAGTCACATGCTCCCGTAGTTCTAGCTACTCAGGACGCTGAGGCAAGAGGATTGCTTGAGCCCAGGGGTTCAAGGACACAGTGAACTATGATTGCTCCACTCCACTCCAGACTAGGTAACAGAGCAAGACCCTGTTTGTAAAAAAGAAAAAAAAAATGAATTTGCAGTTTAAAACTTTCCCTTAAGGAAAATCTGGCCCGGGTAAATTCACTGATAAATCTGATAAATTCTGTCAAACTTTTAAGAAAAAATAATGCCGACCGGGCGCGGTGGCTCACGCCTGTAATCCCAGCACTTTGGGAGGCCAGGGCGGGTGGATCACGAGGTCGAATCGAGACCATCCTGGCTAACACACTGAAACCCCGTCTCTACTAAAAATACAAAAAATTAGCCGGGCATGGTGGCGGGCGCTTGTAGTCCCAGCTACTCCGGAGGCTGAGGCAGGAGAATGGCATGAACCTGGGAGGCGGAGCTTGCAGTGAGCCGAGATTGCGCCACTGCACTCCAGTCTGGACAACAGAGCGAGAGTCCGTATCAAAAAAAAAAAGACGACGACCACCCCCTCTTCTGTCTTATGAAGGTGTTCTTTGGCAGGAGTAGACCTTCACTATTTAGCCTGTGATTCTGGAAGGGCCAGCTCCCAGATAAGCTGGAATGACCCCAGATAGGCAGAGCTTGTTGTGATTTCTCTAGTTGACTGGGCTACTGCCTTTGCCCTGATACTGGATAGAGCTGCTGGCTGGGTACTGTGAGGGCTTTTGGTCAGGTTAGTCACAGGATATATTCCCTAGCCAAGCAATTCTGATATTTGGGATCTGCAGTTAGGGAAGGCTGCGGGCTGGGATTGGAAGTTAGGTAGAGTCACTGCTTGGGACAAGTGGGATCACAAGCTATGCTCCTTAGAATTGCACAGTTGAGGCTGGGTGCGGTCTATAATCCCAGCACTTCGGGAGGCCGAGGCAGGTGGGTCACAAGGTCAGTAGTTCGAGACCAGTGTGACCAACATGGAGAAACCCTGTCTCTACTAAAAATACAAAAATTAGCTGGGCGTATTGGTAGGTGCCTGTAATCCCAGCTACTCGGGAGGCTGGGGCAGGAGAATCGCTTGAACCTGGGAGGCAGAGGTTGCAGTGAGCTGAGACTGTGCCATTGCACTCCAGCCTGGGCAACAACAGTGAAACTACATCTCCAAGAAAAAAAAAAAAAATTGCAGAATTGAGGATTGCCTGCCTGTCAGGATAGAACTGTGGGGTAGGCTTTTGGCTGAGTTAAGTGGTTGTTTGACTTCTCAAGTCAAGACAGTCTGGCCCCTTTGCATTTCTGAAATGTTCAGAGGTGGGAGTCTTCCTGCGTGGGTAGGTTGTTAGGTGGGATTTTTGGCTGAGGGCTGAGTAGATCTTACTTTTGGCTTCCTGGGTCAAGCTGGTCTAGCTCCTTCTCTCCAGTGCATGGAGGTGGGAGTTTCCTTGCTTGAGTAGGATTGTTAGGGTGGGCTCTGAGTCTGGGCACAGAGACTAGCTATCTAGGGACTCAAGCTAGCTTGAAATACCCACCATGCTTCTGAAAGTGACTAGCTCAGTTTTGTGGGTAGGCTTTGAGACTGGCTGGTAGCTCTCATCTGGTGCCACAACTGGCAGAAACGTAAAGGTATTACCAAGATCCACGTGCTGGTTCCTATGACCTCTGCCTCCTTTCATTGTTTCTACCTGGCCCTGAGTGGTCTAGTGATGCCATTTCCCCAAGTGTTCCAGGGGAAAACACAGTGGGCTGCCGGGGAAATATCTCAGAATACGCTAGGGAAGCTAGATGACTGTCTCAATTTCTCTTTTCCCCTAGTAGAAACTGTGGGCCAGGAAAATCTTCTGTCTTGCATTGTGCTGACTTGGAGGGAAAGGGGTGCCACAGTTGGAATAAGACCATTCTTCCTTGGGCAACATAGTGAGATACAGTCTCTTAAAAAGGAAAAAAAAAAAAAAAAAAAAAGACTGTTCTCTTTACCCTTCTAATTCAGATTTCATTCAGTTCTGTGGACCATGTGTGTCTCAAACTTGTTTCCAAGTATTGGGGTTTACAAAAGGATTTTCTGCCCTGTGGATAGTTTCTAGGTGAACTTTCTGTTGGTTGGGAATGAAGCCTGATACTTCCTAAACTGCCATCATTCCCCTAGATACAGCTGTTTGTCTCTATTTAAGTACATTTGGCTTCAACAAACATGGGTTGGGGAAAACAGCACAATAAATATTTTTAACTTAAAAAAATCATTTTAGACTAGGCAAGGTGGCTCACACCTGTCATTCCAGCACTTTGAGAGGCCAAAGCAGGAGGATTGCTTGAGACCAAGAGTTTGAGATGAGCCTGGGTAACAGAGCAAGACCCCATCTCTAAAAAAAGTAAAAGTAATTTTAAAAAATCATTTTAATTCACCATATTAATAGAATAAAGGAGAATAACCCTAATCGTCTCAATAGATAATAGGACTAGCATTTGACAAAATTCAGCAATCGTATGATTAAGAATACTCAGCAGATAAACAATAATCAGCCTGATAATGTGCATCTACAAAAAAAACACCCTACAACTGTCATAGTTAATGGTGAAAAAACACAGTGTTTTCCCCCTAAGACTAAGAACAAGGCTGGGATATCCATTTTTACCACCAGTATTCACCACTATACTGTGGGTCTAACAGTGCAATATGACAAGAAAAGAAATATATAAGGCACACAGAATGTTAAAGAAGAAATAAAACTATCTTTATTTGCAGATAACTATCACATACATAGAAAATCCTAAGGGATTTACAAAAAAGCTGCTAAAACTAGTAAGTAGGTTTAACAGTATTGCAGGACACAAAGTATTTCTGTATCCTAACACAGAATAATTAAAAACTGGAATTTAAAAAATTATTTAGGCTGGGCATGGTGGCTCACACCGATAATCCCGGCACTTTGGGAGGCTGAGGTGGGAGGATTACTTGAAGCCAGGAGTTTGAGACCAGCCTGGGCAACAAAGTGAGACCTTGTCCATACAAAAAAAAACCAAAGCCAGGCATGGTGGTATTTGCCTGTAATCCCAGCTACTTGGAAAGCTGAGGTGGGAGCCTAGGAAAGCTGAGACTTGGAAAGCTGAGACCTTGAGCCCAGGAATTCAAGGCTGCAGTGAGCTATGAGCATGCCACTGCACTCTAGAATGCACTGCAGAAAAAAGAAAACATCTGTGCACTGAGGTACACTATGAAAGCATTACATGACTGTTTTGGGAAAAACTCCAAACCGTTTTTCCTCTGCTCTTATACCAACACAACAATCACCAACACACAAGAAGACTTCCGTGACCAAATATGTGAGGGTTTTTCCCACACACTAAGCAGTGGACACCAAGTGGGTGTCCTCCAATTTTATTCTGACACTATCTACTTGGAGATAGTGGGTATCACGATGTTGCCCACTATCTACTATCTCCAAAGTGTTAGATGCCACAGGTCGAGGGCTCAGTCCCCAAAACTGGCCCACCTCTCAGACACCAGTTGTAACTCTTAGGCCTCTGGAAATTCTGACTAACTGACTTCAAGTTGGGGTTCCCACAACCCCCACTTGGGGTTCGATTAATTTGCTGGTGCAGCTCACAGAACTCAGGGAAACACATTTACCAGTTTATCGTAAAGAAAATAATAAAGGATACATATGAAGAGATGCGTAGGGCACAGTATTGGGGAAGGGGGCACAGAGCTCTCCAGCCCTCCCTGGGTGTGTCACCCTCCAGGACCCTCCATGTGTTCAGCTATCCAGAAGCTCTTGGAACCCAGTCCTCTTGGGTTTTTATGGAGGCTTCATTAAGTTGGCATTCTTTCCCCCAGCATATGGAGCAGCATCCTCTCTGGAATGAGGGTTTATATGACCCACAGTTCTGCCTTGGGGAGGTGAAAGGAAGGCAAGAGAAGGTCAGAGAGATTCCGTTTCCTGAGGCCTGCCTGCAAGGCCTGACACACCCAACATTGTAACAAAAGCTTGTAACAACGCTATAGGAATTATAAGCCAGGAACCCTGGAGAAAAACATAGAGGGGGAGAAGGGGAGAGGGGGAGGGGGGAAGAAAGAGAGAGGAAAAAAACACAATGACCCAACCTCATGGCATTTCACTCTTAGACTTTTATCTTGACTCTGAGAGACTCAAGATTCAATTTAAAAATGGCATCCTTAATTCTTTTTTTTTTTTTTTTTTAAAGACAGAGTCTTACTCGTTATCCAGGTTGGAGTGCAGTGGTGCAGTCTTGGCTCAATGCAACCTCCACCTCCTGGGCTCAAACAATTCTCACACTTCAGCCTCCTGGGTAGCTGGGATTACAGGCCACGCTGCCACACCCGGCTAATTTTTGTATTTTTAGTAGAGATAGGGTTTCACCATGTTGGCTAGGCTGGTCTCGAACTGCTGGCCTCAAGTGATCCGCCGACCTCAGCCTCCCAAAGTGCTGGGATTACAGGTGTGAGCTACCATGCCTGGACAGCATCCTTAAATTTTTTTTTTTTTTTTGAGACAGTCTCGCTCTGTCGCCCAGGCTGGAGTGCAGTGGCGTGATGTCAGCTCACTGCAAGCTCCGCCCCCCCGGTTCACGCCATTCTCCTGCCTCAGCCTCCTGTGTAGCTGGGGCTACAGGCGCCTGCCACCACGCCCGGCTAATTTTTTTTTTTTTTGTATTTTTAGTAGAGATGGGGTGTCACCGTGTTAGCCAGGATGGTCTCGATCTCCTGACCTTGTGATCCGCCCGTCTCGGCCTCCTAAAGCGCTGGGATTACAGGCGTGAGCCACTGCGCCCGGCCCTTAAATTTTTAAAGAACTGTGTACTTCACCTTCTGGCTATGTTTGCCTTTTACATGTATTAGGGCCTAGAAGCTGCAAATACTTACAAAAATGGTGAAATCTTACTAAAGATAAATGAGAATTATGATGACCATTATGTGGAACATTCCAGATGAATAAGACTGTTTGTTCATCTAAGAATTGAGTTTAAAAATGAGGGCTTCTGAATCAGGCCCTCCCAGGGATACCTACTGATGTGCAAAAGCTTCTAAAAAGATTTCAAAAATGTTTGCCTCTTTAAAAGATCCCATGTAGAAGGCAAATGAAAAGCTTTAGCAACTAGTTTATAAGAAGATTGAATCTGCCAACCTTTTCACTTAGTTACTATTTTACTCTAAAGGGAAAAAGAAAGCCAGGTAATATTTATAAAAATTAGGCCCGTGGGTAAAGCAGGTTTGCTGCTTTTTCAGAACTATCCATCTGCGTCCAGAAATAGGAAGCCCTTTGTCTGCTCTATTTGCTAATGGGCTCTGCCCTGAACTCAGTAATCTAGTTAAGAAACAGAAGCTAAGTTGAAAAGACCGCCTATTGAATTAAATCAGTCTCCAAAATTTGCATTTCTGGTATTTGGCCAGTTATTTTGAAACTCTTTGTAAAAATGTGTATCTATAAAGGAAAATCAGTAGAAATTCTTACAATAGGTGAGAGCATTAGTCCAAATAAACCTCACCTTCGACCATTTTGTCTTAACTGGGCTTCTTAGCATCACCTTTCTGTCTTGGCAAATAACAATATTTGGGCCTGAAATGTAAGTTCTTTGCCTTTGAGGTGTAAATTTTCTACCTTGTGTTACCTAGGAACCATCCCTTTCAAAATGCAATTCAGGATAGAAAATTTTTAAATGGTTATTTAAAAAAGGGATGAATAGTAGACTGTGATGGGTTTAAAACAAAGGTGTAATCTAATGATTGGATGGATCAGAGGAACTCATTGCTGGTCCCCTAACATTACAAGCTCAAAACCAGTCAGCTCAATTTACTCCAATTTGGAAAAAATTTTAAAGCCAGAAGGCAGAGATTCCGATGGGCAACCTAACTAACAATCACTTAGGGCAATAATCAAGCAGGTCAGTCAAGAAAAGGGCAAGGTCCCTTGACTCAATCCCCCTGTTGGAATGGGTATAATTAGCAAATTCATGTTTTAATGACCAGAACCCAGAGATTGCTGCCTCACGGTATTTTCTACTTCTCATTTTCCCAAACCTTAAAGAATGTCAAAGAATAAAATCTCAACAAATTAAATTGTAAAGATCTAATTGGCTTTTATTAGCGATTCATGAACCGGGCAGCATCCAGCCTACAAAATAAACAGAAGCTCCACCAGGTGTGACAGAACGGTCTGCATTTGTCAGGCAGCACTAGCAGGAACAAGGAAACAGCATAGTAGAAGTAGCAGATTGGTTAACATCAGGTTACTTCAGGTTACGTTCCTTGTGTGGATTAAAGCAGAGGGGGCTTCCTCGTCGTCATCACGCTGGCTCATGTTGACTGGACTCCCTTTGATCAGTTGCAGTGAATCTCTGGACTTGTTGAAACTGTCCTATTTTTAAGTTCACTTTGATTACATGGACTCCATTCCTGGATGGAGAGGTGAGATCTTGGAGTTCCATTCAACATAAATGTATTGGAAAGTTTTTGTTAGATAGGGCTTGTTAATTTTGGCCTTGGGCTACTCCTTTCCCATCTCTGATCCTCTGCTTCCTAACTTGTAAAATACAGATTAAATGCTCCTGACATTATGATTCTAAGAAATGTCAGGATTAGCTAAATTGCTTAATGGCACAATAATATTAGAGTGGAAGATGAGAAGCAAAATTGTTACGCTGAGCAAGTATTTTTAACTGATTGAAATGAAAGATAAGAGCTTTTTTAGAGTTTATCTTCCCCTCAACCCTCCCAGCCTCTCAAACCACTGTATCAGCTTGCGAGGGCTGCCATAAAAAAAACCCACAGATTGAGTGGCTTTTTAAATTAACTTATTTGGTGGGTAGAGATAGGGTCTTACTATGTTGTCCAGGCTGGCCTTGAACTCCTGGCCTCAAGCAATCCTCCTGCCTTGGCCTCCCACACTGGACGGCTTAACAACAGAAATTTATTTCTCACTATTCTGGAGATTAGAAGTCAAAGATCAAGGTGCTGGTGATTTTGTTTCTTCTGAGGCCTCTCTCTTTGCTTGCAGACATCTGCCTTCTCACTATGTCCTCTCCTGGTCCTTGTTCTGTGCACGCATCGCTGGTATCTCTTATGTCCAAAGGACACCGTGTTGGATTAGACTAACAGCCTCCTTTGAACTCAGTCACCTCTTTAAAGACCTCATCTCCAAATAGAAATGGGAGGTAGGACTTCAACAAAGGAATTGGGGGTTACACAATTCAGCCCATACCAATGCCCTATTCTAAGGTTCCTGTTTCAAAACATGGTAGCCAAATGCATACTCCTAGGGAGAAAATTATTTTGTTTTAGGACAATTTAAACATATTTTTACATAGAATACATACTGCAATTTGTTAAATTACATTAGTAATATTTTCCTATGGCTAAGTCTACCTGGAAAGCTAGTTATCAAAATGAAAAATGATTGTTTCATTTAGTCCTCACCAGTAGTAGTTAATTCGTTTTTTGTGATTTTTGTTAAATGCACTATATACGATTTTCTTTAAAATATGTATATAAAAATCAAATACATTAAAATTTTCATTAGTATACAATCCAAAACTAAAAATTTTAAAACAGACTAGCTTCATTTTACATGACAAAGAGCTAATTTTACTGCTTGATCTGACTGGCTGCCCAAAATACTTTTCCTGGAGAAAGACAGTGAGTGAGATGTAAGGCTCAAAGGGTTAAACCCTTGAAATATAAAAACACATACTGTCTTAGAATCCCACTTAATGATGCTTATGTTTGATTAGGTTGCTGTTTTAATTACAATTTCAGGTCTTTTAGAGACAAATTTCTATTTTTTCCAGAACAAACGTGCATATCCTTATAACACAACAGGGAAGAAAACAAACATTAGATTTTAACTGTTGAGCTTTTTTTACTTTTTGAGCATAGCAGTCGATATATTTTTTTTTTTTTAATCTTTTCCTTCACAGTCTGGGATTCATCTGATTCATTAGCTTCTCCAATTTGATTGCTAGGGCCATGTTACCTTTAATCTTCAATTTTCCTGACATGAATGCCATTGTTGGTTTTAGTTTCCCTAAAATGAGAAAAGGAGAAGAGAGAAAAGCAACCATGAATGCCCTTAGGGATATACTGCTTTAAGAACACTCATTCTAAAAGAATCTCGAGTTCTATAAACCTCAGAAGCACAGAAATTTCTGTTACAGCATTTTATATCAGTATCTTGGGAATCCCAATTCCTAGACTTAGATGTTAACAATATCCTATAAGAGCTAGCATAAAAACCACAATCAGCAAAAGATTAGAGCAAATGTTTTTACACTAAAAAGATTTTTATACACTAAAGGATACACGGCCCTCTAATGAATTCTGCTAAACAAATACTGTCTATTTTAATTTTCCAACTTATGATAGTTCATTAAACTTTTAACATTTCAAGTTTAAGTTAAAAAAACCAAACAGTGTAAATGAACAAAATATTCTTAAGAAATGATCATTAAAAGTATAGTGTATGGACACAAAATATGTGTTAGCATTACTTTAACCACAGAAATGCCAGGGTATAAAAAATGTGAGCATTAAAATAGAATTGTAGCTAGTAACAACATGTAATAAATATGAGCTCCATGGAGAGAAGTACATTTGTTATCTGCTACTCTTATTCCAGTGTCAGTAAGGGGTCTGTCACATAGTGGAATTAATGAGGAAACAGACTCAAAAAGGATTTTGACTTGCCCAAGGTCACAGAGCTTGTATGAGGCAGTGCTGCAATTCAAAGCCAGATATGTCTGCCTTTCATTTATGACTTTTTTTTTTCCTTTTCTTTTTATTTTGAGACAGGGTCTCACTCGGTCTCCCAGGCTGGAGTACAGTGGTGTGATCGTTGCTTACTGCAGCCTCGACTTCCCAGGTTCAGCCGAACCTCCTACCTCAGCCTCCTGAGTAGCTGGACTACAGGCGTGCAACACCATGCAGGGCTAATTTTGTAGAGATGAGGTTTTGCTATGTTGCCCAGGCTGGTCTCAAGTGATCCACTTGCCTCCCAGAGTGCTGGGATTACAGATGTGAGCCATCTGGCCCAGCCTCATTTATGATTTTGTCTTACATTATGCTAATTGATATAGATGACAGATCTCCTAGAAGGCACAAAATGTGTTTGGTATATTAGTAGCCACCCTCCCCACCACTGTGCTCCACACAGGTTCTTTGTAGAGAAAGTATATGAGTTAATGTATTTTATATATATTAAGCTATTAAATGCCTTTAAATGATTCCAAATAGAGGTTGTAGCAAAGCCTCATAGAGTTATTATAAGGTAGAAAGGATCAAGTCCAACTCTTTTAATGAATAAACTGAGCTGTGTCCTATTTTAAGACAATGTGATGTTTAAATCCCAATACTAGCAAATAATAAATGAAGGGCAACTTTTATTTACATGGAGGATACTGAAGGATCTTTATTATTGAAGGAACAGAACAGCCCCTCAAAAAACACAGACATCTGGGTGTCCTTCAGCTAAATCAACTGGATCATGCTCTGTTATTCTACAGTGAAGCCTACCATTCCACCCACCCCACTCACACACATCTTCCAATCAGCTTTGCAAAGCCTTGCCCATAGAGATGAATGGACATCAAATATAACCAAAACCAAAACATAGATAAGAGCAACTTGGAGGAAACAGAATGCAGGCTCAGACGAAAGATAACTAAAATAGAGTAAATGGAGAACAAATTAAAAATTCCATAATCTCTGCCCTCAGAGATAAAAGAAAATAATACAGCAAGGGATGGAGAACAGGATGCAGGCGGAGAGGGAAGAGGAGGAGCACAGGAAGGAGAGATGAAAAGAAGAGGGGATAAAGAGGAAGGAGAGGGGAGAAAAAGGGAAAGGGGGAAAGGCAGCGATACCAGGGAAAGACAGGGGATGGGTTGGATTGACGAGGAGGAAGAAAACAACATGAGCTCTTAGAAATTAAAATTTTACTGGCCGGGCGCGGTGGCTCAAGCCTATAATCCCAGCACTTTGGGAGGCCGAGACGGGCGGATCACGAGGTCAGGAGATCGAGACCATCCTGGCTAACACAGTGAAACCCCGTCTCTACTAAAAAAATACAAAAAAACTAGCCGGGCGAGGTGGCGGGCGCCTGTAGTCCCAGCTACTCGGGAGGCTGAGGCAGGAGAATGGCATGAACCCGGGAGGCGGAGCTTGCAGTGAGCTGAGATCCGGCCACTGTACTCCAGCCTGGGCGACAGAGCGAGACTCCGTCTCCAAAAAAAAAAAAAAAAAAAAGAAATTAAAATTTTACTCAACAAAATTAAAATGCAATAGAAAGGAAAAAGAAGGTGAGTCGATCTCCTAGAAGGTGAAAAGAATTATACAAATACATGTGCAATAGGAGAAATGCATGATTAAATCAGATGATCTTTTCTCCAGAAAGTCAGAAGAGAGAAAACTGAGAGAACTATCAAAGAAATAACGTAAGAACTTTTCAAGGGGCTGAAAAAATGACAGAAGACATTTACCTTTTATCACTGTGAAATATGAGACCACCACAGAGAAAGATGTCTCTGATTTCAAAAACTTTCAGAAAGGACAAGGGTAGATAGAAAAGATTAAGAACAACAACATCAAATTCTCAACGATAATCTTAAGATGATAAAGCAGTGGCCTCAAAATTCTGAGGGAAAATGAATTGCAACCCAGAAATCTCTACCCAAACAATCAAGAGAGTTGGTAGAATAATAGTGGTTTCAGATACACACAAAAATTTTCTCTAAGGTATCCTTTCTCATGAAACTACTGGAGAATGTGTGCCACCAAAATGAAGATGTAAAGGAAGAAAGAAGACATGGGATCCAGGAAACAGGAGATTCAATGCAGGAGAGAGTTAAATTTCTAGGACAACAGCTGTGTAGCAGGCTTAATGAGCTTCAGGTCTGGATTATAACATGAAGACAAAGGGCTCCAGGGAGAAAATGGACTGACATGAGCTGATACATTTGACAATGTAGAAAACTGCATCAGGAAGCTGTGGGAAGAGTACAGGAAGACTCTGCTTAGTGTCATGTACTGAATGTTGGCATTCCCCACAAACTTCGTATCTTGAAGCTCTTGCCCTTGGTGTGATGGTCTCAGGAAGTGGGGCGTTGGGAAAATAATTTGGTTTAGGTGAAATCATGAGGGTGGAGCCAGAATGATGGGATTAGTGCCCTTATAAGAAAAGGAAGAGAAATAATTCAGTGGCATTTAAGTCCAGCCACAATGTTATGTACCACCACACAACACATGTGGTATCTATCTAGTTTCAACCCATTTTCATCATCCCAAAATGAAACCCTCAGGGATTCAGCATTAGCAGTTCCCCTTGCCTCCAGACTCTGGCAACCACCAACAGCTCTCTGTGTCTATGGATGTACCCATTCTAGATATTTAATATAAAAGGATTTCGACAATATGTGATCTTTGGTGTCTGGCTTTTTTCATTTAGCATAATGTCTCATGGTATAGCATGTGTCAGTACTTCATTCCTTTTTATGGCTACTATTTCATTGTATGTATATACCACTCTTTGTTTATCCATGTATCCCTTAATGGACATTTGGGTTGTTTCCGTCTTTTGCCTATTGTGAATAGCACTGCTGTGAATATGCATGTACATTTATTTGTTTGAGTGCCTCTTTTCAATTCTTTTGAGTATAGATTTACAAGTAGAAATTGTCATTTGGTAATTCTGTAATTAACTGTACCTATACATCTATGGGTTTAAACCCATGTGTCTATAGTCAACTGATCTTCAACAAGGGTGCCAAGACCATTTAACACAGGAAAAAACAGTCTATTCCACAAATGGTGCTGGGATAACTGGATATCCACATACAAAAGAATGAAGTTGGCCGGGCGCGGTGGCTCAAGCCTGTAATCCTTGCACTTTGGGAGGCCGAGACGGGCGGATCACGAGGTCAGGAGATCGAGACCATCCTGGCTAACCCGGTGAAACCCCGTCTCTACTAAAAAATACAAAAAACTAGCCGGGCGAGGTGGCGGGCGCCTGTAGTCCCAGCTACTAGGGAGGCTGAGGCAGGACAATGGCGTAAACCCGGGAGGCGGAGCTTGCAGTGAGCTGAGATCCGGCCACTGCACTCCAGCCTGGGCGACAGAGCGAGACTCCATCTCAAAAAAAAAAAAAAAAAAAAAAAAAAAAAAAAAAGAATGAAGTTGGACTCTCCTACTATCTACAAAAATTAACTTAAAATGAATCATAAACCTAAATGTAAGAGGTAAAACTCAAAACTCTTAGAAGAAAATATAGGGATAAAGCTTCCTAACCTTGATTTGGCAAATGATTCTTAGATATGACACTGGAAGTAAAAACCAAAAAACAGGTTGAACGTTAAAACTAAAAACATATGTGCTTCAAAATATATCATCAAGAAAGTGAAAGACAACCCACAAAAAATGTGAAAAAGCATTTGTAAATCATGTATCTGATGAAACGTAACTGAAAATATATGAAGAGTTTCTTTCTTTTTTTTTTTTTTTTTTGATACAGTGTCTCTCTGTCACCCAGACTAGAGTACAGTGGCATGATCTTGGCTCACTGCAACCTCTGCTTCCTGGGTTAAAGCGATTCTCCTGCCTCAGTTTCCTAAGTAGATGGGATTACAGGCGCCTGCCACCATACCTGGCTAATTTTTGTATTTTTAGTAGAGACAGGGTTTCACCATGTTGGCCAGGCTGGTCTCGAACTCCTGACCTCAAGTGATCTGCCCTCCTCGGCCTCCCAAAGTGCTAGGATTACAGGTGTGAGCCACTGCGCCTGGCCATAATTTCTTAAAACTGAATAATAAAAGACAAATAACCAAATTTTGAAATGGCAAAGGACTTGAATGGACGTTTCTCCAAGGAAATACCTTTGATCCATAAGCACATGAAAAAATGTATATCATTTGTCATTAGAGAAATGCAAATCAAAACAACAAGACGCCATTTCACATCCACTAGGGTGGCAATAATGAAAAAACAAAATACTAAAAAAACCCAGAAAAGAAGTGTTGGTAAGGGCTAGGATATGGA